TTCTTCTTGTTTCTTTTCTCGTTCTTCTTGTTTCTTTTCTCGTTCTTGTTTCTTTTGCTGTTCTTGTATTGCTTCCATCAAATCTGCTAAGCTTTAATTTGATTTGCCACTTTTCGTTTCCATCTTCTTTTTATTTTTTCAGTCCCATTCTCTGACATCAATTTGTTACATCTCTGTGTTCGTTTATTAATTTTTCGTAGAAATTCTTCCCGAGGAACTTCAGCGATACAAGTCCTTTCTTAAATAAAATTATTTTATTGTTTCTCAATACAACTTTGCAATACACTTTAATTTCCACATTCATTTTAAACACTCACTATAATTCACTATGATTTACGCACTTACTTACGGTCACTACCGCGCTTGACTCAATTGTCTGTCTGTATCTCTGCCTGTCTGCTGTGCAATTCCGATTAATTTGTCTCACGTTATCAGACGCACTTATATATAGGAGTAGAGGGCGCCAAGCACATACTGGATTATTCGTGATGTTCCCCGATCCTTCTAGAATATCATGATGTGTTACCAGAATCACGTGACTACCTCTGAAGACGTGTCACCTGAAAAAGCCACTGTTGAAGAAGTAACTCTAGCCGGTTTAGAGAAGGGAAACAGTGAAGCCCTTAATGAAGTTACTACCACTGATTATGACTGTTACCCATAATAGGACATTTCCTGATAGAGCAGATGAACCCCACGTGAAGCACAAGCCAATGAGAGAGAGAGATCAGTATGGAAGAAGATACGTCCTGTAAAAATTAAGAGACTTTGTTGTATTTTAATTTTGTGTTTGTAAATTCTGTACATTTAATTAAGTTATTGTTAATTATATATTGTTTAATGTAAGTGGCTATTGTTCAGGATGAGCAATGCTAAGGAAGGGGCAGTGTTACAACAGCGGCAGTCACACAATGCTGGGAGAATGTGCGCTGGAGTCTCTCGAAGGATCATGAATTTGCCTACCAGCTCAAGTGTGATCTAGATGCCCTCTTTTTTAGTATATATATAAGCCTGGCAAAGAAAGCCAGTGGCAGATAGATAATTGAGTGAAGCAAACAGTAGGCACCATAAGTAAAGTGTGTGAATCACTATGATTTATAGCGTGTGTTATAAAGGTTATTAAGTTTAAAGTGATTGTGAAAATTCTGTGTATTACAAAAAGTTGTATCCAGAAAGAATAAACTGGTTTAATCAAAAAAGGACTTGTATCACTGAAGTTCCTCTGAAAGAATTTCTACCAGAAATTATCAAACAAGCAGATATGTAACAATATCATATATTGCATGTATATATAATGCTATGATTTCTCAGCCATGGACAAATTCTTCTCTTGACATTGACAAAGTATTCTTCTTCGCAGAGAACTCTGGCAGCTCCAATAAAGGCACTGTCCTTCATCACACTCGTCATCTATGATTGTGTTTTGTTGAAATAATAAATAAAGATTGTTTCACATTGTTATGCAATGTGTCCAGTCTGTTTCATTCTTCAAGACTCAGTCAAAGTCAGAGAATAAAATTTAACTCTTCATAGTTTTATGTCGAACTTCCTGATATCCTGCAGATTCTACATGATTACTTTAAATAAAATT